CTTCAGCGCTGTAGAGACAGAGCAATCATGAAATGCCACAAACAAGTCTGGGGCTGTATTCCAGAGCCATGTCAACGAGTACCCACCACTACCACCTGCACACACAGAGAAACATATCACAGACTGCAGAAGGTTCCCGCTGACCCCTGAGGGAGTCTAATCTCTTGGTTTTTAAGTTTTCTGTCTGTGCGTTGTCATGATTGAATGGAGCTGTAAGTTTCCTGGACGTTGTCCTTTTCCCATCCCGCATAGTAAAGCTCTTTTATTAGAGCAGAGCTGTTTCACTGATGCAGTAAAGATGTTCTTTCACTAACTGGCATATGGAGACGTGCCAAAACCTATTCTTCTCTTGGATCTGTAGCGCAGGCAACTACAAGGCACAGCAGTTTTGAATAGCTGGCACAGGCACCAGGTAAAATTTAACTTTATTATAAAGTGGAACTTCTTAAAGAAAGATATTATTTGACAAAGGCTAAGAATCTACACACCAGCAGCTTTGTGAGGCCACAAGCTAAATCCTAACATCAGCACTGCTCACTGACAATGCTTAAGCAGGTTGATCATGAATGTCTGTACAGAATGTCATGGTGATCCATCCAATAGTTGCTGAGACAGTTCAGTCTGGACCAGAGAGGAGGACTGATTGACTGACACTGCTGACCCTAACCCCAGAGATAATCTTCTGTTAAACAGCAAAACTGAGACTTTCCAAACATTTTAACTCTGTGCCATCGTTTTATAACACTTACCCAAATTCTGACGGTATCTCCCGAATCCTTGTAGACATCTCTAATGATGCAGAATCAAAAATAATCTGGTCCGGTCCAGGAAAATTAGCATTTTAATTTGTTTCTTAGCTATGTCTATTCTTTTCATATGAAAACAGTGGAAACAGGAAATGACATTGTCACTCTGGCTTTGTGTGAAAGCTGCTCGACTTCATGAATGCATTATTTAAAAAAAACTGATAATCATTTCACTTAATTTTCAATAATACAATAGTAATAAGAACACAAGAGGTTTTAATAATACCTTCATTCTAACCTTTCACAAAAAAAAGCAAGAGATGATGTCATTTCCTGTCACCATCTTTACTTAACTGAAACAAAACTGTATGACCTGAGAAACTAAATAAAATCATATTTTTCCTGGACCGGACGAAATCATTTCTGATTCCACATGGTTAGAAGACTCTATGATTTGAGAAATACCTACAGAGTTTGGGTGACTGTTATGAAACAATGGTACAGGGTTAAAACAGTTGGCAAGAAAATTCAAGTAAAAATATATTTTTTTTAATATTTTGCAAGTGTTTTGGCATCCATCCAGCCCAAATGAATTCATCTAACCCTTTATGCATGCACTGAGGAGTTTTTCACTCCAAAAGCGAAAAACACTCTTGAGGACTTAAGCACTTGATGCAAGATGTGGAGAATATTCTGGCGTTTGAACATTTATTGGTACTTCAAAGTAGATAGTGCCCACTCTATCTCCAAGTTCTGATTAGGCAGTTTGCCTTCTGCTTTGTTAGCCATCCTGTCAGCCAGCGTTGCCCTCTTAATAACTCCTGTCAATCAGGGATGTAACTGTCAAACTGAGTCAATGGAGGCAATGCCATCTCCAATGGCTGGATAATGAGCTGTGGACATCAACACATTTAGTCATTTTCGGTGCAAATGTCAGCAGAAGAAGCTCAGAAACCACGTCTCTCGTCATTCAGTGCACAGAAACTTCTGCAAAGAAGACTTTGCGAAGCTTCAGCTGAAAAAGACAAAGGTGAGATCTCATTTGGGAGGAGAATGAGTTGGCGGTTAAGGCAGAGAGGAAAGTTGACCAGAGGACAGTGAGGAAGCAGCAGGGAGGTGGTGCCCTCTTTTGCATGAGGGAGGAGGGGGAGAGGGGCAGAGGTGAAAAGGAAGGCAAAGACATCTTCTGATGTGGCAGTTGTGATGAAAAGAGAGGCAAATGACTGAAGACAAGACATGGAGACAGGAGAAAGAGAAAAGGGTTAGCTGAGGAGTGTGCATTATTCATCCCTGCTGACACATCAGAATCTCTGATTCATCTGGAAAAGGGCATCAGTCAAGTCACAACCTATCTCTTAGCCTTCACTCATATGCACACATGAAAACACAGACACAATAAACACACACAACTGTAAAAGACCTCCTGCTCTTGTTTATATAAATCACCTATCTACATATTATCTATGCATTTATAGAATCCAACCACAGCTAAAGAAGACAACAGCAATCCAACACTACACCACTGTATGAACAGCTGACACAAGACTAAAATATAGGCAAGGCATAGTCAAATATTTCCTAAGTAATATTACACATGATGTTTAGTTATTTATTGCTTTTAAACATATTTGTAGCAAGTTGCACTACCTCACAATGCCAAGACTCCTGAATGTAACTGTGTTCCCTTGTGACTACAGTTTGTTATATCAATCAAAGAGATTAAAGCTGGTTTAAATCAATTGCATAAGATTGTTTTTTTTTTTACTTTTCATACTGATATTCAAGGCAATACATTTTGTTCCACTGATCTGCAGTATATGATATCAAACTAAATGCTTACATGTAAAACCAGAACGTAAATATAGAATCTTAATACCCAGAATTTGGCCAGCAAATGTCTGTAAGACAATAAAACATTATGATCACATATTGAAATATAATTCTACCAAAAGGCCATTAACACTAATGTTGATTTACTGGCCAGCCTTATGAAAGATAATGTATCAACAGATCCCCTGGTTAAATAAGATTACATTAACAAATAAATATGCAATTATCGTGCATCCTGAAAGTCCTGGAAGAGGGATCCCTCTGTTGCTCTTCCTGAGGGTTCTTCCTATTAAAGAATTTCTGTGGTGAGGGGGATTTCCCCTTCTGTACAGATTTTAAAGCTCACTGAGAAAAATGTGTGATTTGTGATTTTGGTCTAAATATATAAAAGTGCCTTATTTGAAATCAGATTGAAATTTTAAATGTGATTTTGGTTAAAGTTAACAGTTAAAAAGTACCATTCTTGATATTGTTGTCATAATTTTAACCTGATTGAACCAGCGTTAAAGGCTTCATTCTGCAAGATGGACAGTAGATGTATGTTTTCACAGAAAAACAAGAAGAGAAGTGGAACAGACAAAAGCTCACTAATTGAATGGCTCAGAAAAGGTCAAGTAATATCAGTGCCGGGACAACAACAAAGTTTCTATCCGCTTGTAACACAGGTAGCGATGCTCCCAGCATCAAAGCTGTGTGCCATGATGTTCTTCCTCGCAGCTGACTGGAAGCTAATGCAGTGTACACAGAGAGTGACAAAATCATTGCATGGGTATATCATGTAAGTAGAGAACAGAGCAGTTGGCGTAATGCTGCTGCAAGAATCTGGGAACAAGACATCAGCGAGGCCTCTGGCGTTGACAACCAAAGCTCTTCCGCTGGGAGCCCAAATCATCCAACATCTTCAAGTCTGGATGGATCTTACAGTGATGTCTGCTTGGAGGGAGCAGTAAACCACTGAGGCCGATGGCTGAACCCTGTGAAATGCTATTCAAGGGAGTACACCCCATCTCTGATTTCATGAGCTACCGCTCCTAACAGCGCCTAGACAAATACCTGTGGGGCTGTGCAGCTTCACTCTTTGAGGAGAATATTTGATCTGTTTCTCAGAGACACACCGAGGAAATTTGCCAGCTGAATTACTCTGCTTCCACATAATGATATTTCTCTGTCATAATAATGCAAATATCTAGGGCCCTGTTTGCCCTATCATAAAGGTGGGGTGCCTTGTGAATTCATCTGTTAAGCAGGGAGTGGAAATGAAAGGGCAAAGAAAAAAGGATTACTAAAAAGAGGAATCCATGTGTAAAACTGACTGATTAAAATAATTAGGGATGTGGAAATGGTCTGGAACAATAACTAGCAAATGCACAGTGCCCCAGGGACAATTTCCCATCTGTGTGTGAGGAGGAAAACCTCCCTCAGAATCATCACGACAGTGCGATTTTCCGGTTTACAAAGGTTATACATGTGCAAACACAGAAAAACTAAACAGGGATTTGGAGTCTAGGCTATATGAATAAATCTCAAACAAGAAAAATGTGTCAGGATGACATCATTTCATATCCCCTTGCCCATATGCATGGATCCTATTGTGAATAATTATAGACACAGAGAGGTATATGGACTCCAAATCACTGCCTGTATGTGCAAATGGACTTGTTTCAAGTAATGCTTATGAGTAGCATGTGCAGCAGCCACTCGATTGTCTAGAAAACAGTACTACTAAGTAAGTGCATCCGCCTTGCCACCTGGTGCCTTCCATAATAAAGTATAATTCTAGTACTGACATAACAGCCCATATGGATTTCTAATCTGTCTGTGATATCCACCTCAAAAGTGCTCACAATGACATTATCACAGTGGGGTTTGCACTTTGCTGTGGCATGACCTCTGACACTTCTTTTTAATATCAGGGTGTATGTGCTTTGTTTATTTATTTCATTGGGATTCTCTGTTATTGACCCCCTTTTTTTTTGAGACTCAAAAAAAAAAATCTGACTTAACAGGACACTCAGTTCACCCCGAGAAAAAGAGAACCGAAAAAGCCACCTGAAATGAGCGTGAAAGAGGAACAAAGGCTCTGCCAGCCTGCCCGGTTCCCTCATGCTGCCCGGCAAACAATAAGGAGGGGGGCAGAAAGGGGACGCGCACTCAGGGCGCTGCTGCCAACGAGCCTGATCTGCACAACCCCACGGTTCTTTTCACCTAAACGTTTGAAACAAAAGTCCCAATTGATGCAGTTATGAAAGAGAAAAAGCGTGAAGGCTTCCTGCCCTTGTCAAACACTAAACGGTGAAATCTCACCCCGACCGGGCTGTTCTCTCACCTCATTAGTTTCCAAAAGGCTACTCGGCAAGTGAACACGTCTTGGTGGTGTGCACGGTTGCAAACGTTAATTGTATAGGAATGTAAGATGCTGGTTACCTCGGCAGGAAGTGCTCCGTATTCTTTTCTGTCTGGTAGATTCATGTGGGTGGGTTTACAGCTGGAAGGGTCCTCTGAAAGAGCTCGGATAAATGTAATCCAGTGGCAGCAGAGCTCCACTCAGAGAAAGGTCTGCCTTTGTCGAGGGCGCATGTACACATCGCCGGTGTTTCCCCACCGTCCTGGCTGTCGGACCGACCGGTACACGGCTGCTCCTCAGCCCTTTTGTCGGGAGAGCATTGCTGGTCGGGCAGCTTCAGATACTGCTGGTTGATGTCATTGATACTGCCTGCCTCCTTCCTCGATGCCCTGCAAGATCTCCAATAGCAACCGTATCCCCCATCACCCCTATTACCCCCATTACCATCACCCCACATCCCCTACCACCTCCTTCAGCTCTGGGTGGATCGCTGACTGGTGCAAAGGAGGTTGGCTGCTGAGGTTGGTCTTGGTGTACTGGTGACTGATTTTTTTCCCCACTGTGCTTCCCAGGAGCTAAAATGAAGATAAGCACCTTGAAACCCCATAGATTCTCACAATATAGTGTCTAATTATAACTGCTGGCAGGAATACAGAATCAGATTCCCATAACAGCTCCTACAGAGCAAAGCTCCATCATTAAACTATACCTGGACCAGGACTCACTGTGGGACAGTATGGAAATACATTAATAATACCACAGGAGGCAAGTAGTATATATAGAATAAGGTATATACATCTTGTTGTGGACAAAGAAAAAAAGAAGCTACCTGGGAGACCTACACTTATCAGATTTTTTATGTTTGTGAAGGTTATAATGTTAGGTTTCTGCTGGACCTGGTTTTAAAGAGGCTCAGCTTTATGGGCATTTTTGCCCATAAAGCTGATGAAATGTACATAAGAGGTGTTTCTAGCATTTCGTCCATCCTGTTTATAGAAACATATTAGTGAGGTGAACTGCTAAGTGGTATCTTACGGCTTTTGTAGCTCAACATAATGTGGACCACATATATTTTCCAGCTTTCATGTTATCAAAGTGGCAAGAAATCAAAAAAACAGTTCCTCTAAAATATATGAAATATATTGTTCTTTTGTTATATCTACTGTACTCGGGCAAAATCCCCATTAAACTTACAGCACATGAGCAATAGCTGTATGGAATATTTCTGGCAGATAGCAAGAAATCAACACATGGAACTGGCTGGAGGACACAAAGAGAAAGTGGAATGTAATTATTATAAATATAGATTATATGTATCTGACACTTACCTAACAATAGGAACAATGTGTGAAATACTGGCAAAAATGGACCATTCAGAGTATAGAGACATTGGTATGTCACTGAATAAAAATAAAATTGGAAAAAAGAAAGAGTGAAAATAGTAAATAATAGCATTTTTAATTCTTAAAGATGCCACGCATACTAAGGCCTTGGTTTGTTTAAGATTTTGTCTTATTTAGGTCACACCACATGACAAACACAAGCGCCACACCGGCAAAGTGTGAG